TTCCACGTGGCTTTCGCATCAGATTATCGCATCAGATCATCAAAGAAATCATTTTATTTTTGTACCTGAATCATTTTGTACCTGAATATGCAAGTGTAAGTACATTTATTGTTTTTCACGTATTATGATCATTATAACTATATTTGCGTAGTATTAGGTTATTCACGTATTATGTTCATTATAACTATATTTGCATAGTATTAGGTTATGGTATAATTAACTTGTTTATTGTAGATCAAAAAAATGCCACGAAATAAAGAAGGTGTAGATATTCGGTACACATCTGATGAAGAAATCAAAGATTTGATGGATTCTGGAGAGGTAGATTATTGCATGTGAGTAATATATTCATTAATACTACTAACAGAATGCTACATAAATCTTGTATTATTTGTAAGTATATGCCCCTATATTGTATAATAGTATGATAAATAGTGTTTTAATCAATGAATATTCTTTATTATTTTTTATAATTATAGGGAATTTGTTGGCTACATTGTACAAGTTCTTGGACGTAGTACAGCTGTTGTTAATGGCAAAGAAAATGAACTGTTTAAATGTGTAATTAGTAATGGGACATATAAGATTATGCTACTCATTTGGGATGAAGAAAAAATAAACGAACTATCAGGACAGCTTATGGCAGACAGAGTATGTTGATTTGACATTAATTGAGAAAAATATTCACTCTGTATGTCAATTACATTAATAAATTTATAATTTGTTTGCAGATCTTGCATCTTGATGGATGCCAAGGGCAATTAGCATTTAAAAAAAGAAAAAAACAATAGTTACATTTTGAATTATGAAATAATCATTCAAGCAAATACAAAAGTAAAGTACAGAGGTACTCATGTGCATACTAAACAACTACAAGTATCAAATATTCCTAAAATACAGTTTGTTGACGTTGCTAAAGCTATTGGTGAAATTAGTATGTATTCTCTCTCATATATTATTATATTTTTTAGTCAAACTAGTTTTTAAAATTATTTCTTTTCTTTTTTCAGTGGTGGAAGGTTATATCAAAACTGTGGTTGAATTTGCATATGGTAAAGATGGAAAAAAAAATTTTGGTGTTGGAACTATAACCGATGGGGTACATAAATTGCAAATTCATGTGTCTAGATTCGAAGAAAAAGAAGCCAATGACCTTGTGAAAGGAGCTTGTGTTTTAGTTACAGGAAATGTTCATCGTGATGGTAATTTATTTACTTTATACATTACTTATTTTTATTTTATAATTGTTTCTGTAATTATTAAAGTATTATATACAGGGTGAGTCATTTTAATTTCCCCAGTCTAATAACTTTTGAAACAAGCAAATTACGCAAAAATGTTTCAGACCAAAGTTGTAGGGGTTCAAGGGGGACATCTAGGGGTGACTTTGAAATTGACCTTGAGCTTGACCTTGACGGCTTTCTCAAGGTCAAGTCTATTTTTTTATTGGGAACCCCTATTTCTGACCTCGGAATCGGAAAGAGCGGGAAATTTTACATCCAGATAACATCTTTTAACATGGGTCAAAATAAACCCTTAAGGTCATGCTAAGGTCAAAACTATCCTGGAACAAGAATCGAACAATGTAAGCAAAATACGAAAAAATGACTCAGAAAAAAGTTGTAGGAGTTCAAGGGGGACGTCTAGGGGTGACTTTGAAATTGACCTTGAGCTTGACCTTGACGGCTTTCTCAAGGTCAATTCTATTTTTTTATTGGGAATCCTTATTTCTGACCTTGGAATCGGAAAGAGCAGGAAATTTTACAGGATTTAAATTTTTTAAATTTAAAAATTTTTTAAATTTAATTTTTTTAAATTTTACGGGACTATTCTTGTTTCCGTTCCCTATCCTTTTTTATTTTTCACCGGACTGTATGATTATTATTAATAAATTTCAAATATTGGAAGTTGTCGCTAATAATTTGCTATTACAAGTCTATTAAATTAATGAAACTATTTCAGTATCAATCTGATGTTCTGCAAAGAAATAAGAGTAAAAGTTAAATACATAAGGATAAATTTCATGTTCAATGAAGAATCTATTACATTTGGAAGTCGTTTAGAAAGTAATCGCAATACGTTCAGTCGTGATTTCAATTTTGAAAAAGCTTTAAATATTACTTTTGTTTTAACCATGCTTGTGTTCATTGTATCACTATCATTATTTCTTCATATTTGAATAAGAGACCTTTCTTATTGCCATCGATCATATGAAATCTAATTTGGACAATATTGCCTCTGTTTTCAGTAATATTTAATTTGTATCATCTTTCTATGATCTTTGCCTTTGTTGATTTGTATTGAGGTTTTTTGAAAAAATCTTTTAAATATGGCTGATTTTACCCCAACAGAGATAGTTGATATGATTTGGATTTTAGGAGAATGTAGAGGTAATTACCGTGAAGCGTCAAGGTTGTATCGAATTCGATACCCACAAAGGCGCCATCCTGATCACCGTACCATTCATCGTCTTGAAGAAAGAGCTCCACAAGGGCATCTACGAAGAAGTCGACCAAGACATGAGTATGATGATAGAGATGCTAGGGTTTTGGTTGTCTTAGGATTGGTTCACCTAAATCCTCATATCAGCAGCCGACAAATAGAGAGAGAAACAGGAATACCTCAGAGAACCGTTATTAGAATTTTAAGAAGTAATAGATATCATCCGTATCATATTACCTTAACGCAAGCATTAAACGCTAATGATATGAGAAACAGAGTAAATTTCTGTCGGTGGGCTCTACAGATGATTTTGCAGGATCCGAATTTTTTTAATTATGTCCTTTTTTCTGATGAAGCTACGTTTCATAGTACTGGCCAATTGAATCGTCACAACAGTCATTATTGGTCTGATCAGAATCCTCACTGGTACAGACCAGTCGATAATCAACATCGTTGGAGTGTAAATGTATGGTGTGGAATAGTTAATGGTCATCTCATCGGGCCATTCTTTTTTGAAGAAAACGTCAACGGCAATGCTATTTTAGAACTTTTAAGGGATCATCTCCCACTTTTACTTGAAGACGTAGATCTTGAGACTAGACGTCGAATGTAGATACAACTGGATGGTGCAGGACCGCATTTCGCTTTAATTGTACGAGAGTTTTTAAATAGAAATTTCCAACAAAGGTGGATTGGAAGAGGTGGTCCAGTTGCTTGGCCTGCACGATCACCGGACTTAACTTCCCCAGATTTCTTCCTTTGGGGATACTTAAAAAATACTGTGTTCGCCGAAGCGCCCACAACAAGAGAGAATATGATAGAAAGGATTAGAGTTGCATGTAGACAAATCTCTAGAGATATCTTACTGCGCACTATTGAAAGCTTCGAACAGAGGCTCAGGCAATGCATCGACGTAAATGGTAATAATTTCGAGCAAAACCGATAGGAAATAAGTTTATTCTAGTTTCATCACGAATTGTGAGAGGCAAGGGGATTCACATTAATAAAGCACCCCAAATCGTGAGAGGCAAGGGGATTCACGTTAATAAAGCACCCCGAATCGTGAGAGGCAAGGGGACTCACGTTAATAAAGCACCCCAGAGGGAACATAATCCTATTACGTCCACGTCGTTGTTCCTGGGTAGTGCTAAAGATAGGAAGTTTATGATCTTAAACATCAGCATCGTTAGTACATGGCCAGTCCCTTATTCTTTGGAAGTTTATTTAACAACGGTCATATGCGATAAAAGCTTCGCCTCGAAATGTAACAAAAATAAGAGAATTTTCAAGAATTTGACCTTTGCTTCACATTGAGAATAGAAGTACGACAAAGGTCTTCGATGCTCGTTAAACCTTTTGATGTTTGAAAGCGGCTTCAATTTCTTAAGTAAAAACTGAAATATTGTTTATGTTCTTATGAAAAAAAACTAAATAGATACTTGAACGTAAAATTTCCCGCTCTTTCTGATCCTGAGATCAGAAATAGGGGTTTCCATTAAAAAAATAGAAATGACCTTGAGAAAACCGTCAAGGTCAAGCTCAAGGTCAATTTCAAAGTCACCCCTAGATGTCCCCCTTGAACCCCTACAACTTTGGTCTGAAACATTTTTGCGTAATTTGCTTGTTTCAAAAGTTATTAGACTGGGGAAATTAAAATGACTCACCCTGTATATATATATTATATTACTATAGGTCCTCTCAAGCTCAACTGTAAGAATATGACCAACATACAGGTTTTGGAAAAAGCTAAAATGCCAGAAGAAGATGTGGAAAAAGCGAACAAGCTACTTAAACGATATAAGCCAAATGCAGAAGAGGGAAATGCAAGTGGTAATCCAGATGCCAAAAAGAGATCTATTTTAGGAGACAAAACAAATTCTAAGAGACAAAACGAATATTTTGAATCAGAAATTTGACTGGTTTTTATAGATTACTTTCTTATTAGTATAGTAAATCTTATTAGTATAGTAAATGTTGATTATTTTTATTCGACGTGAACATTTGAATAATAGAATTTTTCTTTAACTATAAAGAATAGGACAAAAAATCCTAATTTCTAACTCTTATTATTTTCTGACGAGTAATTTTCTAAATCAATAAAAAAATTCGATTTATGCACAAAATAAAAAAATATAACAGTAAGATTTGACAATTAAAAAAATTATATGTTCACAAAAAACTTATTTGTGATAATATGATAGTAAGTATAAATCAAAGAAAAGCCAGTATTAATCAAAATAAGAGGCACGTTTATTGATGTTAAAATCTTTAACATAAATGTTTGAACTATAATTTATTGTAATTTAAGAATTTTTTTTTTGAAGTTTAAGAACATTTGTAATATTTTGTAAAAATTTGCAAAACTAATTAAAATAAAGAAAAACTAATGATAAAATTTATTATTTGATTTATTTTTTACATCATAATAAGAATTTTCAATAAGTTGAAGATTCAATCAACGTTTTAGTTTTTTCGTTTCATCGAAACTTCGGGCTTCTTCGGGTCAACTAACATGGCCGACCCGAAGCAATCCGAAGTTCTATATCGTGACATGCACCGAGTCAAAAAAAAGTTCTCCTATAATTATACAGCATCTAAGATACTTGCAAATTGTTAAAATTTCAACAAATTTGTCATTGACATTTCAGATAATTCTTGTATCATACGTTTTACTTATACGTTATAGAAAACGAGTATATAAATTGAATTGTAAGTACAACATAAAGTATTAATTTTAACCTTACACAATATTTTTATATTTTATATTATAAGACAATAGTTCATACCAATCATAGCATTAAATAAATTATTTGATAGATTAAATATATTTGTAATCAAATATTTTTCAGGTTTTAAATTGTCACCTATTACATATTTCTTCCTATATTGTTTGTATAAACAGTATAATGTCAAGTCTGGAGTAACATGTGTACACATCATTGCATTGTAATAAAAGGCATTGAACAATCGAGATAGAAATTACAGGAGATAAGAAAACTAATTAGTTATTTCGTTTTGAGGATTGTTACTTATTCTCCAGATTTTTAGATAAATGATGAACTGGTGTACTGTAAGTAAAAACTTGTTGCTTAACGCATATTTAACATTTAATAATAGAGATGCTTAAGTTAAGAAAGAATTATATAGCTTGACACAGTCTAATGTAATATAACTTGAAAGGAAATTGATTATTTGTTTTTCGTTTCTTGAATGTCTATGAGAGACTTCTAAATATCTGAATATTTTCACTATGTTTTATTTTTTATTTGAATGTAACAAATCTTGAATTTTTCAAATTGTTTTAAAACTATTTCTGATTCATGGAGATATTCTCTTGCTATAAGAATATAGTTATTTACATATACATACATAAACATACTCTAATTTACTCCAAACATTACACTGCAAAAACACTTGTATTTTAAAAGGATTTTGTAATTGTCACTCAGTATGAATTGTGATAGGGCATCTTAGTATTTTTTTTTATTGATACTACAAATGTTTATAATGATAAAAATTAAGAGAGCCTTGAGTGTCATTTCATGTTACAAAGGAGGATGTTCTGTGTGAATACTAAAGATTGTAATTTCATTAATTCAATGCTACATCATTTACTGTTTTATAATATATGTGTCACTCAAATCTGCCAAATTCATCAATTAGTTCAAGATTTAGGTTAGGAAAGGAGGTGTAATCTCTGATAACAATTGGGATTGAATGAAATAATTGATGATTTATGAAATCTATATGCTTTAATTCGCTATTTTGAAAATTAATCATCAATAGTTGAACTATAATTTAATTAAATCAATATAATAATTAAATATTTATATTTTCTTCTTTATTTTTACGTTACATTTATCACAACAATGTTTAAAATCTTAAAAATTGTAAGGGAATGAGTTTCTTCTAATGTTAACTTTTATGTAAGTTATGTGGGAAAGCTTATATGTTCCAATTGTTCAGTGTTGATATGGAAAAGTGTAGATTAACTGAGAGGGTTTTCACGTGCTACAAAATCACTTTATTTTTTTACGTTTTCAAAGAATTAAAAAAAATTCTTTTTTCTGTTTCAGGTTTCAGGATTTTATGAACGTCTTACCAGGGTCAATTATTTTTATAAACCTTATTGACATTATTCGTTCAATGGAACTACTTAACAGATAGTGCTGTGAATTGTATTTAAAGAAATTGATAATATTCAATAAAATAATTGCATCAAATTGAATAAATTTACCTTGACAATATACCATTTTGTACTATATTGAACCTGTGTTGTACTTATATATTGTACCTACATTCTACCTATATTGTACCTATACTGTACCAAACTTATATAATTATATACCATTGTCTATCATTACTGTACCTGTACCTTATATTATATACCATCAGCATTTTATTATTTATCGAATTACCAAAGCAGCTCTTTATACATAATTTCATAAAACCAAACCATTGTACGACTTAATATTTGTACGTATGATGACTACTTAAAATAACAGTTGCTCAATAAATCGGTATTTCAATAATTAGCTTTTTAAGCCGTAAAAAATTTAGGAAGTAACAATAGAAAAATAATATAAAATTAAATTTATCAGTACCCATTAACTTTATAGTCGGTTAAAATAAAAGTTATTCTTTTTCACAGAGGAACAAATTGTAGTGCATCCAATCGATTCGTGTTGAACAAATTTTCTTATTTATTGGTAAAATGAAGTGGCTGGATCTATAAAGATGTGGCTGGTATAATAAAAGGAACCTTATATAAAAAAAAAATTTTTTAAATTACTTTTCAGCTTATAGTTTTAATATTTATTAATAGAACAGAAATACTTCAGACAACATTCCAGTAAATATGACGGCTTTCAGATATAAGTTGAGTCATGCGGATTTTTTATTAATAGAGAATGGTTCTATGTTGAAAGACACTCATATTGCCAAATTCCATGAGATATTAAGATTTTGTTCATTAAAGAAGCCGCCTGTTATTAACCCAAGGTGTTCACTAGTTATTCAAAAAATAATGAAATATCCGGAGAAAAAATGTTTGGAACCTATTCCTGTAAATGCAATGCACATCCAAATATTACATAGTTGTAATGATAATTGTCACAAATGTGTCGGTGGTCACTGGATCTGCTGTTATTACGATACTAAATTTGTACATATCTTTGATTCGCTAAATCATCACGATTTACATCCTTGCATTGAACAGTTTTTAAAAGAACTTTTTCCTTATTTTATAAAAAATAGGGCATTTGATAGGAATAAACTAATTTTTAGAAAAGTACAATCTCAAAACAATCATAAGGATTGCGGTGTCTTCGCTATAGCATTCGCAACATCCATATTTTTCAATATTAATCCTTCCAAAATAAATTATACATATGAAAATATGCGTAATCATCTTCATAAATTATTAAAAAATGATGATCTAATACATTTTCCATACACATATGTAAAAGATGATTCAATGATGTTATTTACAACCAATAGGTTAATAACGGATCTTCCTAATCTAGATTGTGTATCTTGTTATGCAAATTCTACAATTCAAAGTTTATTCAATTGTTCGTCCATTAGAGATGTTGTCGAGGCGAGTGACCGAAATGTACTCCATCAAGTATTTGAGAATTATAAGTTGAAATGTTACAATAATGGTATTTACGTAGATATAATTAGCTTGAGAAAATTTGTACATCAACAGTTCGCTGAAGCTCGTCAACAAGATGTTCCCGAGTTCATCGGTTACTTATGCAACAAATTAGAATGATTAAAATTGCCTATTCAGCATAAGTTACAAACAACATTTGAATGTACTAGCTGTAATCGAAAAAAAAATTGTGATCCATATTCTAACAATATTCTTTCTCTATCTATTTCTTTAGATAAATTGACATGTACATTACAGGATCTGATTGATTCAAATTTAGGAACCGCTAGACAGACCGATATAAATTGTGATTTTTGCACTGAGATTGAAAGAAAATTTAATGAAACATCAACGGTAATAACTACAAATGACGTTTTAATAATCCAAATCGAATTATTCCAAGCTACTTACACACAAATTTCACAAGTCAATATTTCATAAGTCAATAACTATATTCTTAAAGATGTACTAACACGTGTTTCGATCAATAACAATGTTTATGAAATAAACAGTGTTATCGTTCATAGAGGCGAATCAAATTTCAGTGTACACTACTTTAACTACATTCGTCAAGGTGATAATTGGCTAATTATTAATGATGATAATGTAGCTAAAATATCTCCTCCAAGTGAAATATCGGATGCGTATGTCATTTTTTTACAAAAAATTGAAAGACAGCAATCAATGGCCTTACAACCACTAATTCAAGGGAGGATAAGCACCGATTCACAAAATACAGGCGTGATTATAGACTGCACACATAAAATTAATAACTGTCGCAAAAGGACATTATCGAGTATTGTATCAGATGATGTTCTTGCTACGACAAACCATAAGCGAGTAAAGATAAGGAACTTTGTTCCGAAAAATTACCCTGAAAATTTAGATTCAAAGATATCATCATCATTGGAAAATGATATATCGAATAACATCGTTGAGAATAATCAAGATATTACCATTAGACCGCATTTATTGCAAACAAAATTGTCTAGTACCAAAAATAAGAAAAAGTCGTGTGGGAATCAAAGAAAAACCTATTACCAACAGTACTATCTGAAAAATAAAGAAAAATTGAAAAGAAAAAGTCAATTGCGTTATCAACAAAATAAAGAGCATTAAGAGGATCATTCTCAGCGAAGTGTAAAGAATCAAAAAATTGACAAAATAGCAAAGTATAATTTTACTTATTACAATAAAAATAAAAATAAAATATTAGAAAACAGAAAGAAACATTATAAACAAAATAAAGAGAAAATATTAGAATACAAAAAAAAATATTACAATCTTAATCGAGAAGATAAAATGATTCAAAATAAGCAACGACGTGCTTTAAATATAAAAAAAAAATATTTCATCATAAATGTCAAGCATGCTACAAGAAAATTATTTCATGAAAAACATAATTGGGTAAAGAACATACCGCTTTTTAATTTACCTTCTGTTACACAAGCTAGGATTAAAGCTGAGCATTTAATTACTCGAGCTATTTCAGTTAGAGACAAATTTATCTCAGAGGCTAAATATACAATTAAAAAATTAAAGGACAAAGCAATAGTGTGTTTAAGTCGTGCAGAAAATGTTAGCATAACCAACGTGAATATTAATGATGCAATTGCAGCATTGTGTGGAACTTCGATGCATTCTTCTCATTCAGAACCGTATTTTGCCGAAGCCATTTATGACTTTGGAAATGGATTGCTTGTGACAGATTCGCGCAAAATAAATGTCATAGTGTTGAATGAAAATGGACAGTCAACTAATATCATTCCTATACTCGAAACTACAAAAAAATCAAATGTTTGGTTGTGTAATCAATACTGTAAAATGCCTGATATTCACACTGTAAACTAGATTAAAGATCTATTTGAAAATTTGATCCAATTAAATTATGTTGATGGTTATGATTTTTTGAAAAATATTGACATATGTACCGCTGAAACAAAAAATACCGAAAAACATGGTCACCCGATCGTTTGTCATATTGGAATCTTTTTATGCAACTCCATATTTTTAAAAATTCGTACATTAGCTTCGCATTTCCCACTTTTACGGACAATAGTAGGTATGATTTATGAGCTGAGAAATTGTTACACAAGTATAGAAGCGGTGAATGAAGCTTTGAATAACGGTAATTTAGATAAAATAAATGAGTTTGCATCTAAATCTGCTGCGTCTTTGGTTTTTCAATGTAAGAATACAGATGAAATTTCATTAGATGAAAACGAAATATTAAAGAAGCTCCATGAAGGCGTTAAAATTTATTATAACATTCTGAAAGATCTTCCGTTAAATATTTGTGTTTCTTGCGAACGATTATGTCGCAATAAAAGTGTAGTAGATGTTAAAAAGCATGAACCAAATGTTGCATGTGAATTATTAGAAATTACAAATGATGCTTGGGCAAATTTAGTGCAATACTATGAAAATAATAATTTAATAGAAGCATTTAACAATGGTAAGATTTGCAAAACTTGTTTGGAAAAACTTAAAAAAAATACTATACCCCCTACGTGTCTTTTAAATAATCTTTATTTCAAACCTATACCCGATGAATTAAAATGTTTGAATATGTATGAAAAAATTCTAATTCAACGTGCAAAAGCATTTCAAGTTATCCATAAAAAAGGCACTGTTATGAAAAAAAATCTACCTCATTATGCGCGACATGACAAAATCGTGGGGAAAGTGTTTCATTTACCTCTACCATTAGAAGAAACATTACAAAAGTTGTGTAAAGAAACTGATCCATTGAATTCTGCTCATGAATTATACATATTAGTTAGAAGTATTCCTACTAAAGGTAAAATTATTTGGGAAGAATACGTTGATGTGAAAAGAATATGGAGTGCTTTGAAATGGCTCAAAGAAAACAATCCACTTTATTCAAAAATTAATCTTCCTATTAATCCAGAAGATTTACTGAATGAAATAAAAGGTACAGATTTAGAGTATGTTGAAGAAGATTCTGTTAATGATGATAACAAAGATGAAGACAAAAAGAAAGCTACAAACGTTGAATTACCTCAGCCAGAAGCTTTATTGACAGCAAAATCGCAATCGGACATATTTTACGATGAATATACCATACAGGCATTGCATGTTAAAAAACCTAATGAATCAGATACAAAATTATATCAAATGAAAAAAGTTTATGAAACTCCTTTGGTATACAATGAGAAAGATTTAGATTTAAAATGTTTTCCAGACATTTTTCCTTATGGTGAATGTGGCCAACGTGTTCCGAGAGACATCAGATTAAGAGATTCAGATTTTATAAAACATATATTAACATCTAAACAGTCACAATTTAGAGAAAGCAAACAATTACTCTTTTATTATTTACATGATAGCAATATAAGAAATCTCAATGCAGGAATTTATCACATGTTACACATTTTGGATACACGTTATAAATATACTGCAGGAAATTTCAGGAAACAATTGGACGAAAATGCTTTGGAATCAAATCTTTATTCTATTTTCTCTCGCTTGAGAGGAACTGAAGCATATTGGCGAAGACCAAGAAGGGAACTAAATTGTATGACGCAGGAATATGGCCCAGTTACA